ATATTTATGTTTGTGGTTGTAATGTGACAAAATATGGAAAAGTTCAAGGGGTATGAAAACTTTTGCAAACCACTGTACATCTGATTAACATTTGGAACCAACCCCATTTGAGATGGTTAAACGAGTAGCAAAGACAAAAATGCTATAACTTGCTCAGTTTTTTACAGGTGTCGAGCTAATGTTTGTTGAGGTAGTATCTGAGAGTCATCGTCAACACTTCAAGTGCTAACAGATCACTCAAGATCACACATTTTGAGTTTATGGATGTTTACAAGGTTTGACCAAAACAGCTACAACTTTGTACCTTCTCATTTTAAGATGATCTTAAATTAAAATAGACTTTAAAAGCGATAGGCGTTCTAGATAGGCTGTTAGATGTTTGACTATACCCTTTTKTCTTTTCTTTTGCCATATATGCATATCTTTTATAAACTGTGAATTAAGCATAGGGTTTCTAAGTGAAGTAGTGGAATAAGAAGCACTGATTGGCTGCCATGTGGATGGTTTGTGTAAATAGCCTAAGCTGTAGATTAGGGATCAAAGTTGAGTTGCCTTGTGTATTGTTGGTTCATTGTTTCCGTTTGGTATGCAGGCTTAAAGGTGGCCTCAGAAGCCACTGTTTTGCAACCAGACGTTTTTTTTTAACCGACTCATCTTTCATTTTCTCCTGCTTCACAAATGACATTTTTTCTTTTTTGCTTAGGTTATCAATTTGTAATTATGCTGACTCAACTTGTTAACATGAAAATTATCAAGTATTTACAAACCCAACTGAGTGCCAGTAATTATGTGAATTTTTCACTCTGAATAATGGCTTACTCTACAATTCCAGACATGGATTATTTTTTTTCTAATTGATTTCTGCATGTGTCACAATCGCTTTGTTTCTGTAATCTGTTGGCACACTTGATTAAGCTGAGGCTTTTTTAAAGTGTATTGACTGGTCACCGGTGGCATACATGAGGTGGTCTGTACTGGTTAATGGTTGGGGGTTCACAGTGATTGGTTACTTGTTCTGGAATCATAATTAATTGTGATATTATGTTTTGTTTTTAGATAATTGGCTTCAGGCAGTAGAAAGTGGGAAATTTGTTATAGAGGATTTTTTTTTTTTTAAATATTGAATGTTATCTGTTGCAGTTGGGGGATGGCGGTCAACGTTTATTCTACCTCAATAACCCAGGAGACTATGAGCAGGCATGACATTACTGCCTGGGTTAACGACATTCTCTGCCTAAACTACACAAAAGTGGAGCAGCTCTCATCAGGTGAGAACCTATTAAAATGTCATTTCTCTTTTTCGAATGTCTTTCTGCTGCTGCTTACATCTCTTAGCTATTAATACGAGAAACATGTTTTGGAAAGGACATCTTTGTTTGGATGGATGCAAATAATTTTCAGTTTAAGCAAAGTTAAAGCATCCTGTGGAAACTGGCTCACCTCTCTCTAGCAAAGTGTTGTCTATAAATAAACTAGTAGCTTGCTGCGTTCTCCGGCTGTGGCCAAGTAATCCAATTTCAGACACTTGCTGCTTCCTTAAACACACACACAGCTCCCATTTTCTTAAGGTGCAAAGCTAATTGTTTCATTATGAGCTCCCTAGATAGGCTTACATAATAAGTTCTGTCTTACGTAGAGTGTTCTCTGAAACATCACCTTAAATTGGCTGCATAGAAAGTGTCCTTGGAAGTGTTTTTTAAAGGAAACTATATTGACCCGTTGCACCAATGTCATGAAAACGGTTGCGTCATAATGAATCAATTTCACCATGTTACCTAGGAGTAAAACTTCTGCAAAGAAATTAGCTGCTAAAAATATGTGGATGATCCTGGCCAACAAATATTAGCAGTTTTTCAAAATACCAACCTGCACAGGCTCTGTAAACTGTCTGAAGATGAGAATGTTCAGCTTGCAGTGTTCTAAGAAAACATCATGAACTATTCATCAAAGCCTTTTACAGCTGATGAGTTGAAGTGTTATAAAGAGGTTAGAGGCAAACAAATGAATCAGATGGTGTTGCATGTGGATCAGAGAGACGTAGTGCGTGTGATTTCACATGTGGTAAAGACAAACATAAATCTAAATGTTATACTACCTGTTATCACTCTCTAAACAGTAAAGTAATGATTGGTATATTGCTAGAGGTGGGCGATATGATCAAAATTTTATATCATGGTATTTTCAACATTTTCACCGGTTTCACGGTATTTGACGGTATTTTTCTTTTYATCACAGCTCAGCTGATAATAAAATGTACAAACCCTGCTTATTGACTTTTTTTCTTTTACTGCACCTCTGTCTGTGTCGCTGTTTCCCTCCTCTGTGTCTGTTCTTCTCTGACTGGTGGTTGGAGACAGTAGTCACGCATTTTGGTCCAGTCGTGAAGGAGGAGGGTTAAGAAAAGATTATGATCAGGTTTATTGTTTTATGTTATTTATTAAAGCTTATCAGCACGACTCACMTTGCACACCADTCAATTCYAACTCCACTACGAACTACTTCCTGCGGGCTTTTCACAATAGAACCACGTTAAGTCTCCATCAGCATAACGTCTCCATATTAACTAACCGCGTTAAATCTAACTGTCCATGTCACTGAAGAGGTGTTTACTACATTCAGCGACGGCAAAAACTGGATGTTTTTTTAAACGTCAGTCAATATAAGCAGCGGAATCGCCACCCCGCGGCTGCAACTAGCTGCTCCAAACATTAGCATGCTAACGCACATAGCGGTGCAGCAAGGAAAAATGTCCCCCGGGAAACAACAGTTCACTGGCGGCTGCGACGAAACGTTCCGCTATTTAAACCGGAATGTCCGGTATTCAAAAAATTCATATCATAACAAAAAATAAAAACCGGTATTCGGTACAAAACGGTATACCGCCCAGCACTATGTATTGCACAAATTCAATTACTTCTAATAGACTAAATATAACCATACCTGAGTCAAAATGTGCAGAACAAACTTAACCTGGCCAGTCACAGACACCTACTGTACGTTTCTCTGATAAAATTTAAATGACTTCTCCTTGATTCAGGATGAAATATTGTAGTCTGTGATAGGTCAACTCTTCCTTGTGGTCTGACCGACTGTGGCAGCCACATACATGACAGTAATTAACCTTTTTTTTTGTTATTTCAACAAAATCCAACTGATACAGCTAGATGGTYAGGATCAGAATATAACTGGACTGAGTTGCATACAGTACACACATTTGCTTTGTATTCTCTTTAAACTTTTTTTTATTTCTGTAGGAGCTGCTTATTGCCAGTTCATGGATCTGCTCTTCCCTGGCTGCATCAGTCTTAAAAAGGTCAAATTTCAAGCTAAATTGGAGCATGAATATATCCACAATTTTAAACTGCTGCAGGCATCCTTCAAAAGAATGAATGTGGACAAGGTGGGTTTCTAAAATGATGCTTGAATCTGAACAGATACTTGCTTGTTGGGACTTGTGGTTTACCCATTCCTTTTTTTTTTCTTCCCACTTTTTGTTCAGATTATTCCTGTGGAGAAACTGGTTAAGGGCAGATTTCAGGACAATCTCGATTTCATCCAGTGGTTTAAGAAATTCTTCGATGCAAATTATGATGGTAAAGAGTACGACCCGGTTGCAGCTAGGCAGGGCCAGGATGCCATTCCCCCACCTGATCCCGGTGAGCAAATCTTCAACCTGCCAAAGAAGTCTCACCATGCTGCCAGCTCCCCTACTGCAGGTAAGCTTTAACTGCAGCATAACAAAGCATCACAGGGTCCTGTGGTTTAAAAAAAAAACATCTAAATTTTGTCATTCTTTTATGTGCTGCAGGAGCATCAAGATCGAGCGCYACTACCCCGAAGTCTTCAACACCAACATCTAGACCTTCATCAGCCAAAAGGATACCTGTGGTTGCWACAACTCCCGCCAAGGGAGAGAAAGAACTGGAAGCACAAGTCACACATCTTACTGAGCAAGTATGAACAATGAGCCAAACGAAGCAGCTCTCCTACAATCCCTGCTGGCTCAGAGACATATGGGTCAAACTTGTTAGTTTAACATCTTTGGGTTGAATAGGAAAGTTTAAAGAATTTGATTTTTACTCTCAAATAACCTGAAAGGTCAGGTCCAGCAACATTGCAGCGCAGAAAGTAGACTCTCCACCCAGCATGGACTAAAAATAAATTATGATGGACCTCCTCTGAAGTTTAGTATGTAATAAACCCCAAAGGTTTACAGATATTTTTTTTTTTCTTTTTAAGGCCCAGCCCATAGCTGATATGATGTAGCTGAGATTCAACAAGTTTGAGCAATGTCAGCTTTTCATGCATGATGCATTCAAGAACAAAGATGGTTCCAGCTTGAGTCAGCTTTTACAATGAGACAGAAAACGTGTTGGCCAACTGTCAAACTTTAATCCTGATTTCATCCTTTGTGAGGGAGCAGTAGACAAATAAGGGAGCTGTTTCGCAACATGTTCTATTGATTTTAAAAATTTCCTTTGCTGTTTACGTATTTGGTTATTTAGCAACTAGTTTGTCGAGTTTCTTARAGTTCTTGCCCAGCTTTTCTTTTTGACTACAAGCATTTGTGTGTTTTGATGCTGAAGGATTTCCCTTTTCTTTTTCCTTTCTTTTTTTTTATTCCCCCTCCAGGTGAACACACTAAAGTTGGCACTGGAAGGAGTTGAGAAGGAGCGGGATTACTACTTCAGCAAGCTGCGAGAAGTGGAGCTGCTGTGCCAGGAGCAGGGGGAAGAAAATGCTCTGTTTGTCAACCAGCTAATGGAGACGCTTTACGCCGAGCAGGTCAGCTTGTGATTTTAAAACTGAAGTTATTCTGTTGTTGAAGGGAATAATAATTTAGCATTCGTGTGCGTGTCTTGAACTGTACTCTCTTTTTAGGATCGAGCGGAGCTGGCTGAGGGTGATGGACAGGAAGCGAACGAAGAAGCCCTCGAGGGGGCTTCACATGATCAGCAGGAGGAACAGGATGAATACTGACTGCCATCACCACTCACTAGTTTTACCCCTTTTTAAGATGTGAGAACCGTCAAGGATTTTATTTTATTTTTCCCCTCCTCATGGTTTTTGTTCTCTCTGAGACTGAGCACATGAAGCAACTCCTGGATAGAAGTACCACCGCAGGGTTTTTATTTTGTTTTGTATCTCCTTGCTCACCGTTTGATGTTTTTGTGACTTTTGGTGAACTGCTGTGGCAGGTTGGTGTTCATGACCTCTACTAGCAGACAAGCTCAGACCATCACAGAAGTTCCCAAGGACTATGTGTGAGTGTGTGTGTGTGAGTGTGTGTGTGAAAAATCAGTTCATATTCTACAGTGGATGTGATAAAATGCTGAAGTTTAGACGGGTAACTGTTACCTGTCAGTGCAAGTGTTAAACTATAAGCTTTTGTCCTTTTTTATTTGGTTATATTTCATATCAATAATTACAAGAATGCAATAAGCAATGCCCTGGAAGGGCTCCTAGTAGCTCTTATTTAACCTTCTCCCGTTCGTTGAACTGATATTGACTCTGTATTGGACAATCTGTCCATAGATATTCACCATATTTATTATTATAATTATTTTTAAGCCTTAGAAATAGTGCAAAAATCTGCATTGCGTCCTACATGAAGGAGGACAATACAGTCATTAAATAGTGAATAAAAATGTAGTAAAATGCCAGCTTGGAACAGTTTGACAGCTGTCCTCACAAATCCAAGATTTCAGATAATCAAGATAGTTTTTGACGCTGTCCAACTAGGCTTGACTAGTTTAATAATGAACAAATGATTTCAACTTAAGCTGGAACTGTTCAGAATTCTGACATTCTGACAATTTTCCTTTTTTTTTAAACCACGTCTTAGAGTGACAAATCAGTTCACTGAGCAGTTTGTCTCACTATATTCCAGTAAGTACATCGTATACCCATTCTTAATATTACATTTACTAATACTGAGATGGACAGCTCACCACAATGCTTTAGTTATATATTATTGTGTAAATGAAAAAKGAATGTAAACATGTAATGTCAATAATTATTGAATGGTAAATGTTTTCTTTTTTTCCCCCCGTGTCCCACTCATTATGCATTCCGCAGAAAATGTGTTGCATGTTAGCATTTTATTTGTGAATAACTTGACCTGCTTTTTACATATTTAATAAAAAACAGACATGTTACGTGAGCTTTTGTATGTTTTAGTATGAAGTGGACTACTTCAAACTGATGGTGATCACTCGTACATGGAAGAACTGTTGGATTATCTTCTGTTTTTATTGTTAAATATTGTACATCTTTGATAGTTATTTATTTTTTTACATGCATTTACATGCAAACAGTTCTATAAAGGTAGGTGGCTGGTGTTACATAAAGTATTTTTGGTGCTTTGAGTGGGGGAGCATCAAAACCACACTGTAAAATATATATTTCACCTAAGAAAACATTCAGTGTGGTCAGAAATTTACACTTATTTTAGTCTTTTCTACCTATAAGTGTCCATGAAGACCGCGTCGTCAAAAATGTTGGTGACAACAAAGTTGTCTTTATTTTTTTTAACCGAACTGCTTTGTTCCCCAATTCTGTTAAGCTGTGAAAAAGACATTTAAAGAAAAAAAAAACTGAATTAATCAAAAGCAAGCGTGTTGCTTGTGCAACAGTCTCACGCCCGCCCGCCGCCTACGAGCCACGCCGGTAGTTAATTCGAACACACCCCTTCTCTACTATTGAGCAAGCAAAGTTCTTTTCTCCGGTTAGCTTCGTCTGCAACGCAAACCCAACACGAAGGAGCAAACATCGGCAAAATGGGTTTAACAGTTGAATTTTTCCCATTTTCATTGCGTGAGCGGGAAAATACACAGAAACCGTAAGCTGCTGGAGTTCAATATAGATTTTTTTTTGTCTCCACCATGTCTTCACGAAAGGTAAGACGTTTGTTAGCTTGCTAAGAAAGACACGCTAATTTTGCTAGTTTGCTTTAGCAACCCTCGTCATCCGGTGTTTTGCCTCAGACTTTCCCTCAGTTCGCTGAGTCAGTACAGTAGACTACCGGTCAATTACAAAATATTGTTTTAACTTTTGTTCAAACAGAAGAAGCAGCTAGTGTCGTGTTGTGATAACTTCCTAAACACGTCTTCTCGGTCATCCTCAGCGTAAACGGTACTCAAAGAAGGACATAAAGCACGTTTTCTTCCCGGATGACGACAACAACAAGAGTCTCCAGCAGGATGTGGGAAGAGAAGCTTCACTACTTTYATCCAGCAAGAGTTGGACGAAGTGTGGAGACAGCTTTTTGGGCACTCCGGTGTTAAAGGTTCAACTTGTCCTGATGCTGCAGTGATGAATATGCCTGTCACAGTCCACCTGTTTGCAACGTTATTCTGTATGGAGCACAGAAACTGACACATCTAAAATGAAAAGCAGAAATATATAAATGGCCCAATAAATGCATAACACGCACCGATTATTTTAAAAAAGGAGAACTTTCATTCCCCCATGTTTTATAATTCAATTGACCTTCATATTTACTTTCCAGCGTAGTCCCAACACATACAAACATACATACATACATACATTCATAAATATAACTTGTAGATGCATTTGTATCGCTTTTATTTATTTTTTCCATGTGCAGATTGTGCATGCCTGCACTTCAGGAAAAATGCACGTTTTTTGAGAGGAAGTCTGTTTGCAGCTTCTCTGAGACAGACCGTTCTTCTGCTCCTTCCATGGTTGCTAAACTGAGGCAGCGTAGGCACGCGCAATTGATCCATTTATATATTTCTGCCTTTATAATTAATTGTGTCCGTTTTGGGTCTCCATAACCAAGATGATCGGACCGTTTGATAGTTTTAATGTTTTCGACTTTTGCTGCAGAACCTCCGGTCATCAAGAAGAAAGCTGTCCTCTGTAAGAAGGTTTGCTCAGTCGCCTGCTTTAGGTAATTCAGAGCATAAGCTTTTTTTGTATTCAGTTATTACTGTTGTCATTAATTCTTAAAGTACTCTCTGGGCTGGCAAATTGTATAATCGAAGCACTTGYATCTTCTGTTACATAAGTTTTTTTTTTCTCAGTGCAGAGCAGTTCTCACAGTAATGAGAACCCTGAGCAGATTGCGTGGAGTTCCAGTGACACCGAACAGTCTGACGAGAATCAGGAGAAGAAAAACACTAAAGCTGTTTCACAGCAACAGCGGCGGCCTCAGCGATCAGGGAAAGCCACAGCTCCTATTCAGTCTTACATCAGAGCTCTGAGCGTGCTCACTGCTAATAAAGGTGACAAAAGAAAGTCTGTTCTGACTCACTTGAGTCAAGGCAACCTGTTATGTTATTGCTTTTCTGAGTTGCTTTTCTTTTTCGTTAGACCTTGTAGAAATTAAAACAAGCTAATTCAACATTAACTTGCACCTCAGTTTAACTTGTAACCAGTTATGTTTTTGTTTTGATACATTCAAGTGAATTTTCATCTTCCTCGCTTTCTGTCTGTTTTTAGATGACCTGCCTGTCATAGACACAGACAGTGATCTGGGTGGATCCGAGGAAGATGCTGAAAAGTACAGTGGGCAACAAATCTCAGACTGTGACTCCAACTCCGCTGATGAAAGACCAAAAGACCTACATGTTGAATCTGCAAATGTGAGTGAATAATATTGGAACTAAAAGTTTTCATTAAAACCCACTACAGTGTAAACTGTGTACTGTATGTTTAATGGTTGAAATAATTAACAGCCCAGTTTGCAGCAGGGGATGTAGGGCTGTATAATTATTGGATATATTGAACATAAAGTGCCTGTGATTTTAAGCTTTTGAGCTAAATACAAATGTATTATTTGAAGGAGAACTTTACATATTGTCAAAAATATATATTTAAATTCACAACGCTGTGATAAACTGAGCTGTACGGTCACAGATGGTTATTTTGTGCTCTTGTGACAAYGAAGTGAGACATGTAAACAGAATGTTGTTATGCTACAATGGCTAACAACACAGACCGTTCTTATCTTATCCACAGGAAATTGGTGCCGACGCACATCTGTTGTTGCAGTATTGCTGCATCCAATACACTGTTTCACCATATTAACAATAATTGTACAACTTGGCCGCTCACTTGTTGTTGTTTTCAGATTTTCCGCTCATTTCAAAAGATCAGGGGGAAGCACTTTGATGTCAAAAATATTCTAGTTATGTGACAAAATGGGTRAATTGTGTGAATTATACACAATTTCTTAAATATAAAGATGYTTTCTTCCAATTTTTGTCATTATAGAAAATGCACGTTGCAGAAAACCCCCGCAATCATGGTTGCAATTTCTTAAAAGGCCACTAGATGGGGATATAACCTTTCTTTAATTCTGTTCCCGTAATTCATTCATTCCTTCATGGCATCCACAACATGTTGACTGATATAAACCTACTGAGACAAGTGTGTTTTTTTTTTATCTGACAGTTGTAAGTTTGCAACTAAATCTGCTGAGCTTTGTTTGCAGTTAGAGGGCTTGTATGTCTGTAAAAACGTTTTTATTATATTTTGTCCATTTTGAGTCTTTGCCTAGTGATCGCTCTGTGAATTTGATTTCTCTAGTTGTGCTTGTATGCGACACCACTAGGTGGAGAGCCTCTCTGCGATGCTTTGTTGTTCTGAGGACCGACAGTCGCTGCATGGAGCACTTTCTAGAATCAGGTTATCTGTCAGAGGCTGAGGGAGCAATAAAACTCTGGCTTAAGGGCAAGGCGTCTGCTGATGCCTGTCTATGCAAACTAGATGTTATTGTTGCGCTCAACTTTCAAGAGTTTTTAAAGCTTTTCTTTTTAATTTTTTTTTCTCAACACTTGAAACTCAGAAATGCAAAAAATTACTGTAGTTTCCAGTGGTGCTAATAGTATTTAGATCAGTTAAAACATTAAGGATCTGTTCTTCTTTAAAACATATTTGACTCATAATGAGCAACATTTGTTAACCACTTCCCCTCAGATATGGGGATATGTTCCTGTATTGTTTTTCTCTTAAATAATTTTTTTCTTATTTTTCATAAAACATTGCTTATTGATGTTTTCATTGTTTTATTTCAATAGATAGCTTCATAAATAGTAGATAATAACACAAATCACCCATTTTATTGATAATTGATCATAATTCTCTTTTTGTTTTATTGTTAGTGTCACTGATGGGGTGGCTTCATGTAGGCACCAAAGATTTGGAGCGTTTTTTTTTCCTTCTCGGAAGTCATGCAGCAGTAATGTTTGTTAAAGGCAGGGTTGGATTGGAGAGAATGTAGGAGTGGTGAAGTTGTTRTGAACAGATTTGAGCAAACATATATTTTGAGTCTAGTTTTTTTATGGAATTCGTGTGTATAATTTTATCAGCCAGGTTTTGGCAGATTACAGAAGTTAACTACTGTAGATGATGTTTTATATGCTTTTTAATGGCCTGTGATTTCCGATTAAACTACTTGAGGCTATTTGTAAAACAATCAATGAGTACAAGTAACCAGTAGCTGTGTAAAATAATAATTCAGTTTAAAGGCTGCGTGTTAAGAGGAAGCCTGCTGACAGATTACAATCACYCCCACAAACTTTAGCTACTTCCTTTTGTCACAATTTTAATTTGCAGTTATCAGCTCTCCGAGGTCAAAGACGACTCAGAATCACCAAACAGGAGGTTTGTGGTCAGAAGACAAGGTTTTTAAAGTCACYGTTTCTTCAAAATAGAAAACTTATAAATACAAGTTTATGCTTTAGGTGTTTTTTTTTTGTGGTTCATTAGTGCCAGATGGAAATAAAATGTATTTTTGTTGCAAATTGGTTGACTTATTATTACAGATCTTTATTATTATTGGAAAAGGGGACATGGACAGTGATGTTTTTACCCCTGTGTGTGGGTGTTTGTGTGTTTGTCCTGATCTAAAACTATGATCTGCTGGGGAGATTTTGATAAAACCTTCAGAAAATAATCATTGGATATATTCAAGCCAATTGAAGTTGGCTGCCACAACCAACTAACCGTAGAAAACACATTAAAAGGCTATGACTCAATCAGTTTTACAGATAGTGAGATAAAAATTGGYGTGGCAGTAGCTGAGACTCACTCAAAGTGCTTCTAACCGCATGAGCTCTTTGCTATAATTTTCACATTAAACTGTTGAATTCAACCTAGTTTGCTTGCAAAATATCCCCTGAATTTAATAATTTTTTTTTAGAAAGTATTCATTATTTGTGCATCTTTGACTAATTATCCTTTGAATTCAGTTTATTTAGATAAACTAAGTGATGTAATCCAAGACAAAAAAAGGCTTCAACTCAGTTTGATGAAATCACACATAACATTGTTTTCAAGGTTTGACCAAATTAGTTACAACTCCCATCTTTTCTCAGCATGGACTGACCCTTATTTAAAACTCTGCCATGAAAGGAGGCAAGTGATGTGCATTCCTTTGAGGAATGCTCTGCTTTTCTCATTTTTTGTGTTCGTTAATCTTGCTTGGGTAAATGTTGATCTTATTAGCAGCTGCAGAACGCAACAGCCTTTGCATGTTTTATATGTCCGGCTCAGTGAGTGCGTTTATACCATGGAACTTATAAATCAAACTGGATCAAGACAAAGTTTATTACTCCTGATAAATGTGTGGCTGACTCAGTCGGTGTTCGTCTGCCAGATTTCTGTGATATTATCCTGGCTGCTTAAAGTGGACAGGCGGGGAAGCCATAAAGGCAACTTTGCATGTAAAATATTTCTCTCTTCCTTTTTTTTTTTTTTAGGGGAAGTTTACTTCCTAGATGAAGCACGTTGCTTGATCCGGCTCACCAAACATCTGCTCCTTAATGGGTTAAAATCCTCCAACTGCATCAAGGCAAAAGCGGGACTATAAAGACAGTTTTACTACTGTTTGTTGGGGAAAAGTTGTGAGTGGCTGGGACTGTGTGGAGCTGCAGACTTACAATGCTTTCTGAGCTGGGTGAAAACATTGTTGAGCTGAGGCCAGGAACATAGTGTTCCTTTTTCTCTGTAGCTGGTTAGAGTGTGACGTCTGCTGGCACTCTGCCTAGCAGGGTCAAGTTGATTCAAATAAGAGAACAGATTGGGCTGACAGCGCCTGGTATGCTGGTCTTGTCTGCACATGACAGGAACTCAGGTTTCTAGTGGATTTTTCCATGTGAACAGATTCCCTCAGGTGAACCAAGTAGTGATGCAGCAAAACAACAACAACAGTAAAAAAGTTTTTGTTACATTTTTTAAAGGAGTAATTAGTCTGACAGTATTTCATTGTACCTTATCCACCCACTTTTTCTGCGCGCTTATTGATCTGACTTAATTACTGTTCACTCAATGGTCGCTGAGTCATGTGTTTTCAACTTTTTATTCAAATGATCCAGTGAAGACAGTTTGCACAATTTGTACTTCCGCACAGGACGACGAGCTTGTGATCACAGGTTACGTCTCTGATGGGGAGGATGTTGGCGACACGTTGACCTCAAGCAAACTGGACTCCGAAATCTTCCCTCTCCAAAGTGGCGAGGGCAGCAAAAAGTCAGTCAGCAACTGGCTAAAATCGGCACAGGCGCTGCTGCAGACGCCCCAAAAACCGACTGACCGGCAGTCCAAGACCCCGGAGGACTCCGCCAAAAAGAAAAGGAAGTTTAAAAGGTTCGAATTGCGTTCGTGAAGTTTAATTTGCCAAGCGGCGACCAGAATTGATCTTCATCAACACTCTGGAGTTGATATTTAAGCCTAACTTCAATTGCTTTAATTACTGCTGGCACCAGTTTCTGATGGAACTGATATTTACAGGGTTCCCATGGGTCATTGAAATCCTTGAAAGTTTGTGAATTTGAAAAAATATATATTTCAAGGCACTGGAAATTTTGTGAAAGCAGCCAAAAATTACACTTGTCCTTGAAAGTCCTTGAATGTTTTTTGGGGATTGAAATTCTCTATTTACATGACTGATTTTCATCAACTTTTCAAAAAGAAATTATAAAATTAAATAAAAAAACTAAATTTGTTGCAGTGGATAACTCAGATTACGGTAAACTGACGTCATTGATTCTGACTAAACAACTTCTATGTTCAGTTTTTCATTGAATTTACATGATGTAAACCTGTTTATTGGTAACATTCTGCAATAGGTAATTGCCATTATACATGGTTCTTTAATTAGAGGATATTGGTACTGGAAAGTCCTTGAAAGGTCCTTAAATTTGATGTTGACCAAGGTGTGGGAACCCTGTATTTAAATATTAACTGTAGAACATTTGCTTGCATATCTTGTTAGTTTTAATCAGGTGTGTTTCTTAAAATGGTAAAATATGTTCGAGTTCATTGCTTCATAGGAGCAGAGCAAAGTCTACAAAGAAACACAAGACATCTTGGTTTCTGCCAGGTGACAGTCGAACTTTGATTGCAATGTTTCCACTGCAGAACCGATGATGAAAGGGACACCTGGTGTCATTATGTGGGTGCTAAATGTCGTTTAAGCCCAACAATCTGACAGATGGCTATCTGCTGAGTTCGAAAGCTTGTTGTCTGCATCAGAAAATCTTTATTTTATGTAGTGTTTTCAACAGTTCTGCACAAGCATTGGTTAAATCATATGTTCTGTTTGAGTTTATCACATTACATCATCTCCCCGTGTGTGTTTGTGTGTGTGTATGTGTGCTTGTGTGTGCATTTGTTCCACAGTGGAGGTCTGGCAGAGAGGCTGAATCGGCTTCAGTGCAGACAGAGGTCAGCTATCAGTTTCTGGAGGCACGAGTTCGTCTCTGACCCCACAGCAGCAACGAACACAACAGGTGAACCGTGACACACCGACCCGCTGCGCATGCTAGATTACATCAGGAGTTGTTTTTTTTAACGTAAACAACTCCAAACCACTGTTTAAGTTCAACTCTGAGATTTGATTTGTGAGTGGGATGAAGTTTTTTTTTTTCCTTCTTTGTTTCCTCCCCTTTTTTCAAACACGTGATTACATGGAGGGGCCACTGTGAGGAAGTGATGGCTGCAGTGTGATCACTGTGGCTCTGAACTGTGAACTCTATATAGGTGACAGGAAACTGCTTGCCTAGTTCTTTTTTTTTTTCCTTTTCCGTGGTCTAGTAAACCCTCTTGTGCTCTCTAGTTAGCTCTTCATTATAGGACATAAGATAACTTAAAGGTGACAGTTGGGTGCGAAAAAGGAAAAAACAACACTCCCCCTAAAATCACCTTGATGGTTTGATTGTTGCAATATGAAGAGTTAAAAGGTGACGAATGTGCAGGTGTATGCTAACTTGACCTCCTTTCAGTCTTCTCAACATTTGGTTTGGTCTGTTTGCATTGAGCAAAGGCTGAAATCACACACCAGCTTCAGCATTAAAAATATAAAAACGAATGGGTTTAGTAAAACCGGAGTTCATATTTGTCTAACACACACCCGGAACATGATTAACACACACAACAATGTTACCTGACTAGATCAGCGCTGTTGTGAAAAAACATGTTTATTATTATTGTAGCATTATTATGTGATGTAAGCATCCTCACGAGCACATGTTGCACACTTTGCATTGCTTTTTTTTGCATTGTGCTTTGCTTGCAGTTTATTATRAAAGCTCAAGAATGACTCAAGTGTTTCTTAGGATATTGCAAAATTGGACTTAAACGTTCCTAGCATAAAGAAAGTACTTAACATTCATGTTTAGATAAAATAGTTAAAAAATAATAATTTTCGGATGCACTGACACTAACTTCTCATGCTTTAATKTTTAAAACAGTGATTTTTCACGTGCAGTGGAGTCAATCATGTATCTCAATTCATGCCTGCAGGGCTTTGTCAGAATATACTCCTCTTGATTATCTCTGCGGAGTCCTACAGTTCAAGCTAAAAGCACAGTCAGCCTTGTGGTAAAATTCCAAATATTTGCACTGTCACCTCATGGGATTTACCGTTTCATTTCCAACTCAGTCAGTAAAAAAAAGCCTTACAGTGAGGCAGTGTAAATTGTTCTGCTTCTAAACTCAAATGACTCTCATAATGCATAACGAGGCCCACAGAGAGCAATAGTGTGTGAGAGGTACACTCTGTACGCAGGCACACAAGTGCGCACCACTCAACACACACTCAACATCTGTGTTATTGTTGCTCTGCTCTCCAGTGGACAGGCCCGGTGTGCTGGTGCTGGAGGTCCTGGATGTCCACGAGGAGTGCAGCATGCAGCTGGCACGTTGCCAGCACCGCCATCCCCCCGGAGACGTCAACCAGCACGATAAATCTGTCCCGGAGGAAAGAACGAGTGTTTTGGTGTTGTTCAACAAAGAGACGGCTGCTAAGCTGAGTCCTGCACCTAGAGATATYATCCACGTTTTCCCACCATGGTGAGAAGGCACGTTCAATGCCACGGTTTCCTGTTTCCTGTCAACCTTAAAAATGTACATACAGGATTCAGCAAAGACATATTTAGTCTGCTGCAGAGAAGTATTTCCCTATAGCTAAATAATGTGAATGCTATTCAAGTATTCACACTATTGGGAACATTTGTTTTCTCCATACGTTTTTCAGCACGTACAGTGGTTTGCAAAAGTATTCATACCCCTTGAACTTTTCCATATTTTGTCACATTACAACCACAAACATAAATATATTTCACTGGAATTTAATGTGAAAGACCAACACAAAGTGGTATACAATTGTGAAGTGGAAGCAAAATTTTACATGAATCAAAACATTTTTTACAAATAAAAAACTGAAAAGTGCGATGTGCAAAATTATTCAGCCCCCCTGAGTCAATACTTTGTGGAGCCACCTTTTGCTGCAATTACAGCTGCAAGTCTTTTAGGGTATGTCTCCACCAGCTTTGCACATCTAGTGACTGCAATTCTTGCCCATTCCTCCTTGCAAAACAGCTCAAGCTCAGTCAGATTGGATGGAGAGCGTTTGTGAACAGCAGTTTTGAGATCTTGCCACAAATTCTCAATTGGGTTTAGGTCTGGACTTTGACTGGGCCATTCTAACACATGAATATTCTTTTTTTTAAACCACTCCATTGTAGCTTTGGCTTTATGTTTAGGGTCGTTGTCCTGCTGGAAGGTGAACCTCCGCCCCAGTCTCAAATCTTTTGCTGACTCCAACAGGTTTTCTTCCAAGATTGCCCTGTATTTGGCTCCATCCATCTTCCCATCAACTTTGACCAACTTCCCGGTCCCTGCTGAAGAGAAGCACCCCCAGAGCATGATGCTGCCACCACCATATTTGACAGTGGGGATGGTGTTTTCAGAGTGATGTGCAGTGTTCTTTCTCCGCCACACGTAGCGTTTTGCATTGTGGCCAAAAAGTTCAATTTTGGTCTCGTCTGACCAAAGCACCTTCTTCCACATGTTTGCTGTGTCCTCAACATGGCTTCTGGCAAACTGCAAACGGGACTTCTTATGGTTTTCTTTTAACAATGGCTTTCTCCTTGCCACTCTTCCATAAAGACCACATTTGTGTAGTGCACGACTAATTGTTGTCCTGTGGACAGTTTCCCCCACCTGAGCTGTGGCTCTCTGCATTTCATCCAGAGTCACCATGGGCCTCTTGGCTGCCTCTCTGATCAGTGATCTCCTTGTTCGGCCTGTAAGTTTAGGTGGACGGCCTTGTCTTGGCAGGTTTACTGTGGTGCCATACTCTTTCCATTTCCGGATGATGGATTGAACAGTGCTCCGTGAGATGTTCAAAGCTTGGGAAATCTTTTTATAACCTAAGCCTGCTTTAAACTTCTCCAAAACCATATTCCTAACCTGTCTGGTGTGTTCTTTGGACTTCATGATGCTGTTTGCTCCCCAATATTCTCTTAACCAACATCTGAGGCCGTCACGGAGCAGCTGTATTTGTACTGAGATTAGATTACACACAGGTGGACCCTTTTGAGTCATTAGCAGTCATCAGGCAACTTCTGAATGCAATTGGTTGCACTCAGGGAAAAGGGGGCTGAATACTTTTGCACGTCGCACTTTTCAGTTTTTTATTTGTAAAAAATGTTTTGATTCATGTAAAATTTTGCTTCCACTTCACAATTGTATACCACTTTGTGTTGGTCTTTCACATTAAATTCCAGTGAAATATATTTATGTTTGTGGTTGTAATGTGACAAAATATGGAAAAGTTCAAGGGGTATGAATACTTTTGCAAACCACTGTATGTCATTCTGCGATTTTTGTGCTATTTCAACAATTAATATATGAAAGCATTCAGCGCCTTCAGGACATTCCAGCTATGACTTCTAGTATTTCAGAAATTAATACTTTTTGAGATGTTCATCTTTTTCAGCCATGTTTTTCCTCATTGAAAATGAATGAAGGTCTTTTCAACATCCTTAAAATCCTTTTAAAATAGTGAAATYTTTACTGCTCTTTTGTTCTGGTTCTGCTTTTTTATTTCTTTGTGCTAATTTTAGCTTCCTTCAGCTTCTGTTTACTGATTTTAGCTTTTATCTGCCTTTTTTTTTAGTTATTTCGACAATTTCTGCTATTCTGCAAATTTCAACTTTTTGTGCTGCTTTCTGCTAATTTCAGCAGTTTTATGTTTTTAGCTGCTTTTTTAGCTAATTTGAACTTTTTTTCAGCTAAATTCACCTATTTATGCTAATTTCAGCTTTGTACTGCTTAATCTAGAAAATGCTCTTTTTGTTTGTGGTAATTTAAACTATTTCAGTTACTTTTTAATCTAAGACTTTGGCTTGTTTCAGCTTTTTTTTAGGTATTCAGCAAAAATCTTTCAGAATTAAGCATTCAAACTGCATTTTCACACAAAATTCTCTTACAACTTCTTTTTCTCCATTTTTAGAGTGATTTTTTGTGCTTTGCAGTTGACCTTATCACAGATACTAATGCCCATTTCATTGTGGTCTAGATATATTAATGCCTTCTTCCGCTTCATTGAAATGCACTTAGTCTATATTTCAGCCGGCAACATTACATGTTGAGGACATTTTGCAGTCACAGTTTAAAATACCAGTACAGCAAATTTATAAATCTGTTTGTATATAAAAGTCAATAAAAGCAGGATTAAAATACCAAAAAGACTAGATCTGAACACCAAACTTGAATATCAAAAATGGCTATGAATGTATTTGGGCACGTGGCGACCGATTGTGCACATGTGCATTCCTAACTATAAAAAGGTCAAACAGCTGTGATCAGTCACTGGTTCTCTGGGTTCGTTTCCACTTAACCATATAGAAAAGTTTCTGTTGCTTTTTTCTCAATGCAAACATCCTGTGGGGTCATTGTTGGAAAGTGTTAAGTGTTAGAAAACAAATTTAGAAGACATTTACATCACTGCTAACACACGTATGATGCAGTACTTACTATCAATGAAATTTCATATTGCTTCATATGGGGAAAAATAAAGAGCTGTAAACCACAAACACTGCGGTGAAGCTGCAAGCATTAAGATTAACCTTCGGGGGTGGGGGGGGGACTGGTGACAAGACAAGGAGCTGGTGTATTTTGGCATTGGTTTGCTACTAAACAAGATCAAAATCATGTCTAAATCTAAAAATCAGCTGAAATTGAAAAGTCCCCATTGCAATTTACTAAATCCCAATATGACTTTGTTTTTCAACTAATGGTAAAAAAAAATCCTGAAGTATTCAGTGAACAGTAATCTGGAACACAATAATGTAGAGTGGACTTATATTTGAGAACACAGGAGCTCCAATAACGCCATAAATAACAAAGACTTTATAAAAAATTCTGATGGGACTTTGAAATGACACGTGGATAAATCCATTCAGTCGTATTTTGAGTTTGACTTGGAACACGTTTGCTTCTAAAATGGAAGTAGAAATGGGGAGGGGGACAGGTTTTGTGAGTTAAGCTGGTAAATGAAACCTTTTCCTGGATTTCTCTGGTTTTGGTTTTTCTTTCTAAATGATTTCTTGGCCGAGGATCAGAAACTGCACAAAAAAAAACCTCACTTGAAGCCAGTTCCACAGTGAAAGACTAATAAAAACTGTGAATACTGCACAGTTTATGTTAAAGCTCTTTTCAGCATTTGATTCTGCATTATTAGTGTAATAACTTGCTAGTCTAAGCTCAGTAAGCACTGACAGACCAAATGTAAAAAAAAAAAAATCTCCCGTGGAGGGGTGGGGGGAACTGAGGAGGTTTTTTTGGGTCTGTTTTGGAGTTGGAGCAAGGCAGCGCTCAACTCCAGCTGTTGGGAGTTTAGGTCGAGCACGCTCTGGAATATCCAGGCTTGCGGATACGCAGGGGCCTCCTATGTGCTCTGACGTCACAAACAGCTCCAGGGAATTCTTCACATTCCTCTTCCTGGCAGTAGTTAGATCATTTCCAGAAAACCGTGGAAAAAAAACAGTAGGATTATTTTCTGGAGCATTTGGGAGTAGAGAGAGGCAGGAGCCAAAAAGCTGAGATTGRAAACACATGGTGGTCCCTGGCTTTAGCACCTCTCTGTGGCGGAWATTTTTCTTTGTAAAGAGCAGAGTCCTCTAAATACACATGTATTTGCTTTCATGTTTATGTAAACATGCAATATGAAATACTCTTGAATTACTTAGTAGTTTGTGAAGCATTTGTTTCTATAAAAAATACATTCACATTTTAGCTCCATTAAGTTAATATCTTTAGTTATTTATTTAGTTAGATAATAAAATCTATAGTTAGTCAAAATAAAGCCTGAGACAGTAAAGATGTATTCAACATGCAAAGTTGCATTTCTGGCCCCAAGTGGAAAAAAACYAGATTTGAAGACCAGTATGCCTTGTAAAATTCCTTTAATCAGTTTTCTGTGTCACGGTGGAGGAGGGGAGGTGGTGACCTCCCACAYGATTCCTGCAAGCAGTTTGGCTCCTCCCACCTCCCACGCCTCGCAAATGGGCCGAGCCCTGAGCGGAAATACCTGCAGGGATTATTCACTCACAAAGTGTGACGCCAGCAGCCGCTGCCACTCCTTAAACCAGCTACCTGTCTGATGATGACAGCTGCCCACTCACCTGTTGACAATAAGGTCATGCTTCCTGCTCAGGGATGGTGCTGGGTTTTTTTTTTTTAGTTTTTTATAATGAACAGCACGTTCTGCTCTGACAGGAGTGGATCAATGTCCTTATCTCTGCACAGAAGTTGATCTGAGGAACATCGCTTTCCGGCTTAATCATAGCACAAGTTATTGTTTTGGGTCTTGATGGGTGACAGACACTGATCTAAACTTGGGCGGAATCGAGACTAATGTGTTGAATTACTCATCGCACAACAAATAGAGCAGAATTAATTTCAAAACTTTGCTTGTGTAGAAGTCATAAGAACAAATCATGAGTATTTTTTTATAATGTAAACAACAAAAATCACTTGTTGGAAAGTTGCCCTAGTTTCTTGTACTTGTTGGGTGTCTGTGAGCGTAACGGTGGATGAATCCTCCAGGTGTTTGCGCCAGCATGGTTCAGATTCAGTTTGTACTCAGTGTAGTAAACACATAATATTGTTGGTGTTAATAGTTTGGCTTCAAGGCACACAGTGCAAGAGCAAAAAAAAAAAAAAAACTGTGCCAAACACTTAGTGTTGTTTGATGATGTACTGTGGATATATTTTTTTAAATCGTAAGAACAAGTTGCTGATTTAGCTCTTCTATGACACAGCACTTTCTTTAAATTGTAACATATGGTTCTTTTATACAAGGGAATGTCTGCTCTAAACTTAAAATCTGTTAAAAAAAAAAAACCAACAAAAACGTCATGTACCCTAAAAGGCCATTCCTGTGTGCGTGCGTGTGTTAGAAGAAAAAAAGAAGAAATTCCCACGTTGTGTTGATTCATTTTTCCCACTAATCTGCGTGTCTAACTCCTCAGCCCCTCCGATCAGTGCCTGTTTGAAACACGCTGTGACATGTTGCTGCAGTTTCAGTCGCAGAGTGCGCGCTTGGCTCTGAGTCAGTGCTAAGCCATCAACACACCATTATCCATGTTACATGTGGGAGAAATTAAGTTGTAACTCAAACCTGGCACACAAACGGTGAGCTGTAAATTGATCTGGCAGTTATTCAGCTTCTTGTATTCTCATGGTAACACACTCAGGTGTGTGTGGCGTTCACTTTGATGGGCTGGAATTAGTGTAGGGTCAGCAGCCCCCACTTTTTTTGCACACATTTACTGTAAAAGTCTAAAATCAGTGCGGCCTGTTTTTGCGATTGATTTTTAATTTTTTTTAACAAAATTTTTGCTGTCAAGTATTTTTTTACAGATTTTATTACATTTTGAAAGTTTTTCACCACTCGACACAGTTCTGCAGGATGTTGTGTGGAAAATAAATTTTACTTCAATAAAAACATATTTGAGCTTATGCAGGGTGGCCTAAAGTGAACAGACCTGTGGAGGTGTCTAAAWTTCACATTCAAACTCTAGAGCTCTCAGCCCCAGCATTTATGCTTTAACCTTTTCCAGTTAGCTCTGAGGGGCTTTTGTTTATGTATTTATTGTTATAATCACAGCAGGAGCTTCTTATTATTGCTCATTGTCTTTTAGAGCTCCTCATTCGTGGTTATTTCATTTCTTCAACTCAGTTTTGTTCAAGAACTTGAAAAATTGAAGCTCCGAGTTAAAAACTGGTCAACTTCATCTTTTTACAGGCAAAGTCTCTCCGTGGAAGGCTTCGGCCATTCTGTGATCCTGAACACACACTTCAGCCAGAAAGCCTATGCCGCTTCCAAACCAGGCAGCAGTTCCTTACAAAGAGCCTGGGTCTCCGCCGAAAGGCACGCGCCGTATTACTTGGGTCAAACATTCGGACTTGTGGACGAMTGTGGGACCAAATGTGAAAGCAGTGACAAGCAGGTGCGTATGTGTCACTGCTTAAAAYGTATTCATTTATTTATTTGCATTGAAATACCAGCATGTTTTCACCTCCAGGAAATAGCACGTATGCACAAGTTGTCTGTCGTCTTCCTTTGAGGAATTAACATGATCGGATTAAATCAGATATCAGATTATACGTATCCAGAGCTGTAAATTGTTTATCATTTTTGGACATTAAAGAAGCCTATTTATACAGCTAAAACTCCTCCCTTTTAGTCACAGAGAGACAAAAGTGTAATCATTCGGAAAAATCAGTAGATAAGCACGTAATGACTGCACCAGCATGCTGCATGCTCAGTTTCATGTGCAGAACAAAAAAAAAGCACTTAAGGAAGCTCGTGTATATTGTTTAGGAGTTTGTATTTATCATATCAAATCTGCTGTTTTGCTGCTTATAGGGTTTTTCTCACAGGGTTAGGGTTCATGGTCAACTGAGCCCAAAGAACAGAAGGTTTTAGAGGTAAATATCTTGACTGATGAAGTTGCTTTGTTACTAGTTCTTGAGCAAATACAAGAAAATGACCAGTATTTACTGACAGCTGTTGAGAGATAGCTTTAAAAAATGTTGTCAGTAATGCTTCCTCCTGTTCTCTGGAAGCGCGTTTCAAATAATTAGCTGCAGTTTTTACGATCTTGTTACGAATCTTTTGTTATTTCCTCAGTTCAGGTGCTAATCTAATAAATGGCTGAGAATGAAAGGAAAAAAAATCCCTAATTTCTCTTTCATCTTGAAATATTTACCGTTCTCCAACCAGCGTTTCAAATCCCAAAGTTCAGTTTTCTGTTTTTGCTAATACATGATTTTGAGTGTCTAAAATATAAAAAAAAATTCAACCTTTAGGTTTGGAATAAAAGATCCAAAACTCATCAAAAACCATCTGCTTGTAAAAATAATGGACCAATCATCTAATTTCTGAGCAGCAGAACATCTTGTTGGGCATTTTTTATTTATTTTTGTCTTTTTTTTCTTATTCTGACAGGTTGCAGCCCCTGATGCTCTGCGCAGCGTTGGGGGTTCTGGAGTTACGATGAAACACTGCGTCTCTCTCCTGGAAGCTATCGAAGGACTTGGCCAGGCCGGTTTTGTGGAGCAAGATGTGGACGTGGTTATCCAGAGAGTTTACTCTGTCCCCCTGGCGGACTCGCCTCCTGTGTCCATTCTCAAATCCAGAGTCTCCCTCCGGTCCTCCACGGCTCCTCCTCCTGCAGAGAAAGGCAAAACCAGGTACTGCTGGACAGGCCTCCAGTTGTGGCTTTCGGTTTGTTACTTGATGCCAGAAGAAATGTTGAAAAATAAATCATGTTTCGTCTGTTGTTTATGATTTGCAACAATATGAATTATTTTTTTTTGTTAGCCTTTCAGTTTCAAGGCCCATATGTTTCTCCTTCGTGACATGATGTGTCTCAGTGGTCGTTCTATTGTTCGCGGAGCAGCAGGCCCCACAGAGTGCTCACGCTGTCTCCAGCCATATGGCATTGTTTGACAAAGGACACAAACATTTTTAATTAAATCCAGTCTTTTTGTTAGTGATCCCAGCCAGTTCTCAGGAAAGACAGCATGATCTTTTTAAAATCATGTGCACCCCCAAGCCAGCACTGAAGTGGTCCCCACTCAAACTTTACAAGGTACAGTACATTAGTTGATTTATTTAATGTTTTTAAGCTTTTTTTTCTTCTTCTTCTTCTGGAATGTACAAGTTAAATTGGCGCTTTTTAACAAAATATATGCAATTATGTGAAACAAAGTACGGCAGAAAGTGATTAAATGCCTAATTTCGTTTTGTTTAACTTTCACAGATGGGAAAACTTCAGCTTTTTATTTATCATGCATTTACTCAGCATGTTCCTCTAAATTTGTTTTATGTAGATCATAAACAAAACAGAGTAATTATTTTGGGAGGAAAAACTGAGTTTTAGAATCATGCAGTGTTTTTTTTTAAGAAAAAAAAAACACTTTTCTTTTGTGAGACACATTTTGTAGTAAGTAACCTTTTCTTTTTTCTACCAGACACTGACCCACATTGCAATAGTTTCCTATTTCAACCTTACCTGATGACCTAAATAGGAGCACTGACATTTGAGCAAATCAGTAACATTTAGAGCTGTAATAACGAAACAACAGGTTGAAGATACTAAAACATTCCATCAGGCTGTGGATAACTAACGGGGCAAATGATGAATCTATTTGTCATAATCAGAGTTAATGATGACCTGACCTGTCCAGGGTGTGCCCCACCTCTCACTTACTGACCGCCCGAGACTTTAAAGAAACAAGCAACTAAAGAAAAAAGATGCTTTGATCATCAGATAAGAAGAAATGTATTTTTTGCACGATTGATATGAACAGATAAATGCAGCTTGAAACGTCAAAAATACCAGTGCTATTAAAAAGGCATAAATAAGCACAGTGTGTTACATAAGGGGCTTGGAGGTTTATGTGAGTGGTCTTGTAGTTAATGAGTCAGTGAATGTGCAGTTTAAAGCAACTCACATCAAGTTTGACCTTTAGTTGCCTGGCCCTCCCCTGGCTTGTTGTTTTTGTTCTTTGCTGAGTAATAAAAGTATTGGTTTCTCTAAAAGTGGAGGGGCCCCGRGGGGCACTCTGCGGTGAGGGGAGTAGGTCTCTGGTCAGCTGACGAGCGAAGTGACTAAACAAGCAGCGGTTGTAATATGACTCTCTTGCCATGCTGCTTCTGTGACTGGTAAACAAACACCACCCTCTGACCGGAAACACTCCTGCCCCTCCCTCTGTTCCTCCGTAACTCGGCTGGATTCAACAGGCTGCGTTTGCAGAGGAAGAATTAAGGTGGGGCTGAGCTTTGGAGGTGATGTGTGTCTGTAGGTTCACAATATCTGGATAATCATCTCTGATTATTGAGAGGAACTTGGCTTATTTAAAATCAATATATTGTACTTTTTAAAAATCTTTTATGACCCCTTTTTTATCTCAAAGTATCAAAAATAAAGACTAAGTACCTGTTTTAGTCTTGTCTTAAGTTCAAATAGCTGCTCARAAATCACATTTTGTTGTTCATAGTACTTTCCCAGGAAGTGTGCCTGCTCTGCAGGGTAGTTTTCACTGCAGCCCACTTGACCCYGTTCTGTATAAAGACCGGGACACTTTGTACACTCTCCTGTTGAATCCCAAGCTGCTCTGACTCACTGTCCTGGTCAGCATGCTTAYTTGATCCTTTTGTTTTCTGGCCTCAGCGTTAACACACAAGGGAGACCAGTGCTTTAGAAGATGGTAAATTCCCGTAAATTTTGGAAAAGAAYAAACAAAAAGATTAACTGTTTGCAGGAGTGTGGGGAGGCCAGTTGTTGTGTTTTATTTTTTATTTTTTTCTTCTTCTCCCCTTCAGTTGAGAAGGAACACAATGTGCTGCAGGGATCCTGTTACAGCCATGTTTATCACGCTGCCTTAACGGATTGGTGGACAAAACATAGGAAGGAATCCCGCCTGTTTGCCCCCCTCCAATGAGCTGCCTCTGCCGTATTCTTAATGTGTGGGGCGCTTACTTAGTGTGTTGCCAAGTAATGCTGATGTGCACTGGCTTACATGCGCTCACAGTGTGACTGTGTGTGCGTGCGCGCCTCACAGAGTGTTTGTGTGGTTTGCTCAGACCCAAAGTGTTGTACTTCCTGGAAGAGAACCTGGGTTGCTGAGAATTCCGCGATTGCTCACAATAACACATTCTTAAAAACGGCCAGTGATTGAGAGCAGCCAGTCGTGTGTGTGTGTGTGTGTGTGTGTGTGTGTGTGTGTGTGTGTGTGTGTGTGTGTGTGTGTGTGTGTAGGGTCAGCGTTTGAGGAAGAGGAGCTGCAAAAGTCTGTGAAAGGGAGTCTTAGTGGGAGGATGGTTGTTTATGTCAAGCTGGTACACGACGAGTCTCGTCAACCCCTTTTCTTTTCTGTCTGTCAGGTGTCCTATCAGATGTCAGGCTGCAGTTTCGAGTTTTAACACGCTGCACTAGAAGGAAAAGTTTATATATATTCCTGACAAAGACAGAGCCCCAATAGCTAAATTTACTTTTTGGGAAACGTTAAAAAAATGTTTGATTGGTTAAGCCAATAAAATACATACTTACCACATTATTTCACTTTGTCTCCATTTTGGAGTGTTGCCCACTTTAATGTGTTCTGGATTAGAACTGTACATGTTTCGGACTGTCACTAGGGAAAGTTGAATTAATTCCTTATGCAGAACTTATCCATCTCCTTCAGAGATGTGCAAATATGTTAAGCTCTGTTATCATGAAGGCCTTCACAGGTGTTAATTTTGTGATATTTTTGTTAGTAACGAAATGAATTGGCCTTTCAAAATTGGCAAACGCTGCCCAGAAGTAACGTTATTAATATTGTTTGTGAACTATCAGCAGAAAGTGTGAGAAGACTAAGAGATTTTCCTAAAACACCCACCTGAACCATTATAGAACCACCTCCATGTTTGATGATTGGGGTCAGATTGTTCAGAAAGTTTTTTGGGTGTCCGCCATGCAAAATATGTCTGAACAAGGAARTAAAAACATTTTTTAACTTTGGTTGAACTGCAGCTGGTTGTATCCAGAGCTCTGGATAAGCTGTGCTGATTGATACTCAGTTGGCAAGACGTTGTTTTATTTCTGACATCACCTTTTTTTAAACTTTCATTGATTTGTTGACAACGTATTTGTTGATGTTTTGCATTTTCTGTCACTGAATTTCACTAGTTGACCTGAGTTATGCCTCTCAAAGCCAGTTTTCTTTGTTTTTTGGTAAACTTGCATGACGTTTAGACAGTTACTTGGAGGTTTTAACAGCTTTCAGGGGCCCAAGCTATTCATAGTGCAACTATTTATTTTCTTTAGAAGACAAAAATGTTACATTTTGACACCTACTGATGAACAGATAGGTTTTAAAAACTTAACCACTTCGTAATGTCGGTTACGGGATGTTTTTTTGGGCCTTTTTAAGACTTATGTACAATTATATCCCAACATAACTTTTTTAAATAGGTGTGAAAACATTACAACTTTTTTTTGGGTTCTACATTTATAATTAGTGATTGTAAATTCGCAGATCTCTTGAAATTAGTCTTTAGATGAGGTTTGATAGATGAACAGTATTTTGAATTTATTTGTTTTTATGAGCATAGACTGAAAATGAAATGCCCACCTTCGGTCTGTTGATTTAAAAATCTCTGACAAAGATTGAGAAGTGATTATGGCTCCTGATCTGAATCTTGACAGCCACATTAAACTTATCATAAAGGCAGCATATTATTATCTAAAAAATATTGCCAGATTTTGACGACTGATGTCACAACAGAATTCAGGTAAATTAGTTCATGTCTTTGTTTTCAGCACTTGATTGCAATGCTATTTTCACAGTACTATAAAAAAATACAGCTTCACCTTCTTCAAAAGGTTGCTGCTAGAGTCCTTACAAAAACGAAAAAGAGATTATAATATTAGTCCAGTTCTGAAGTCATTACATTGGCTACCTATTGTTGAAATAATAAACTACCTATATATATA